GGGGAGGAAAGGTTGCCTCTTTTAAAATTAACCACTCCTTCGAGTTGGTCGAATCTATCAAACGTCTTGCAGTCGCCCGCAACGCAAAATTTGCGGTGGGTCCTGTTCCGAGGATGTCAAGCAATGCTCTCAACCAAGTTTTTTCAAAGAATGTTGCCACCTCGACCGTTCGTGGAAATTTTTCTGTAGACCGTCGTACTAGTCTTGGCCTGCGTCCAAGCTACAGTACAAGATTCACAAGGTATGCTGGCAGGCAGGTTGACGTTCGCATCGATTTCAAGACGAATCCTCCAAAGCCAAGAACGCTTGTGAAGCTTCACAATAACACGACAAAGCGTGACCCGAGAAGCTCTTTTCAGTTTGGCTTCATATCATACACATTGGTGACTTATTTGCCATCTTTCAATAATTCTAAGAACCTGTCTGACAGAATAACACCATGAAGCAACAGTCGAGACTGCGACGCCTTTTGGGGCTCAAGGAAAAAAATGCCGAGAAGGAAATCAATGATTTGTCAACAGAGTACCCAGAGACAGAAGTCAGTTCAACCTCCAGTGGAATTGCCTCGCACGATTCATCAGTGGACGATGATGGATTCCAAGACGATGCGTTTGCCGACGTGAGAGATCGGATGGAGGAGTTGTCTGCTCGGGATCGCTCTCGTTATGCCTCACATAGTGAATCTCACGCGGAAGAAGAATTGAAGTTGCCAGTCTTTGCAGCATACACCACGTACTTAGGATACGCTGTGCTGATTCTATGCGGACACATTCGAGATCTGTTTGCAAATATTTTTGGTCACGGTAGATATCTTCGTCGCAAGACTCCTTACAGCAGCGACAACCTTCAAGTTTTTGCCCCTCTCTTGAAGTCGTGGGAAAACTTTTACACTCGACGACTTTATCATCGCATTCAGGATTGCTTCAATCGACCAATTGCATCCAGTCCTGGTGCTTCCATTCAAGTCTTGGAACGAGTTAGTGATAACGGAACCAAAACCCTTGAGTTGCTTGGAACATTGGATGATCTTGACTCGGACAAACAGCGCGAGGAGTACGAAAAGTCTCCCCACTTTGTCAAGGTTTCACAAGATCGTGTGGCGCGCAACTGTTTGAACCTTGGGAGCTACAACTACTTGGGATTTGCCGATGATTGGAACATTACTTGCAAGGATGAGGTTGTTGGATCGATGGAGGATCTTCCGGTTTCGAACAGTTCTCCTCGTAATGAATATGGAACAACGCGCTTGCATCGAGAGGTAGAGGAGCGCGTGGCTCGTTTCTTGGGGAAGGAAGATGCACTATGTCTGAATATGGGGTTCAACACAAACTGTACCACAATTCCAGCTCTTGTTCATCGTGGTGATCTAATCATCAGTGACGAGCTCAACCACACTTCGATCGTAAATGGTGCCAGAGCAAGTGGAGCAGCCATTCGTATTTTCCACCACAATAATTCGAAACACCTGGAGGATATCTTGCGGGAGGCAATCGTTATGGGCCGTCCCCGAACCCGTCGTCCATGGAACAAAATCCTTGTCATTGTGGAAGGAATCTATAGTATGGAAGGAGAATATTGTGACTTGGCGAATGTTGTAAGAGTATGCAAGAAGTACGGCGCACATGTATACCTTGATGAAGCCCATTCCATCGGCGCCATGGGGCCAACTGGACGTGGATGTTCCGAATATTGTGGTGTCGATACTAGCGACATCGATATCATGATGGGGACTTTTACAAAATCTTTTGGTGGCATGGGTGGATACATTGCTGCATCCAAGGATGTGATCAGTTTCCTCAGGAAGAGTTGTGCTGGAAGTTCCTATCACAATTCGCTTTCTCCTGTCGTTTGTCAGCAAGTAATTTCAAGTTTCAAGGTAAGGATTGTCAGCCATGATTTTGAGTTGAAGAAGCAAACGATGATGTGGTCTCATATCTACTCTCCTTGGTTTTAGGTTGTGATGGGTGAAGACGGTACAAACATTGGAAAGCAAAAGATTCATGCTCTTCGGGACAATTCAAATTACTTTCGAATGCGTCTTGAGGATATGGGACTGCATGTACTCGGGCATTACGACAGTCCAATTATACCAGTCATGCTCTACAACCCTACAAAAATTTGTTCGTTCTCCCGTGAGTGTTTCAAACGAGGACTTGCCGTCGTCGTTGTTGGATTTCCAGCTGTACCTATCATCACGTCAAGAGCACGATTCTGCATTTCTGCCGGGCATACCAGAGAGCAGTTGGACCATGCACTCAAAGAAATCGAAGAAGTTGCTGACAAGTTGAAACTCCGTTATGCAGTCTCAACGTTTGGGTAATCGTCGAACAGAAGATTATTAAATGATGGTGGATAGATTGGTGGATGACTTAGTCTATATGTAATGATAGATAGTTGCAACTTAGAATAGTGATTTTGGTTTAAGGACTACTATAGTCCATTTACAGGTATTCCGAATTCTCATGATGTCAACCAGGTTCGTCTGACACGCTATCGAAAATTCTTTGAAGATGGATGACAAGACAACTGTCACCACGCTCACAACTGACATGGAGGAAACAGATTGGTTTGGCTCTCTAGGTGCTGATTTCAAGAGTATTGCTACTTTCTTTCAGGACACGGCACAGCCAGTGGTTGGTGGAGTTGCGTCTTTAGTTCAGCAGACTGCGTTGTCCGTAGCTGCAGAGATCGCAGATTGGGAAAGAGAACAGCAAGAAAGCAATGCTTGGCAAGGTCTTGGTGAAAGTATATCCTCCATTGATGATCAGAGGCCTTTGTTATTGCCATGGGAAGTGAGGAAGTGGTCTGATGATGATCATGAAAAGAAATCAATGATTGTTCTTGAGGACGAAGAGTTAAGGAAGGACATCATGAACTTGAGCTCAAATGAGAGCACCTTTCTTGAACCATTCACATCATTCACTGATAGCAATCCAAATGAGGAAAGGTTTACGCTCGATGACAATCGAATTTCCTTGATCCAACGTCTTTTTGAAGCAGACGAGTCCTTAGTCGCAGCTCACACAAGGATTTCAGGTAAGTTATTTGATGTGCATGATTTGCTCTACGATTCGAGATGATTTATCGTTTCTATTGTTGTCTCTCGTGAAAGGACGAAAAGGATTCAACGAGTTAGTATTTTGGAAAAATTACTTTTTCAACTGTCAAAAGTTACGCTGTAAAAAAATCGGTGATTTGACAATGTCGCATACTTGTTTGGAATCGGACGCAGTATTAGCACTCGGAGTTCAAGACGATGGAAATACATTGCCCTTATCTGAGCATGATGGACCACAGGTGATTTCAGAAACGACAAAGGATGACGATTCGTTTGTCCGAATTGCTTCTGCTCCGAACAGTCTCAACACGATTATCAGCACAAAATCATTGGAAGATATGGTTCTGGTTAGAAGCGACAGCCATCTTGGGAAGTAGGGTGCTGTTTGCCAACCGTATGTATCTCAGTAGCGCGACAAAGCCACAGAACTTTGCTCGGTTGCTTGAAAGCGCAAATATGGCTATGTGTTTACCTACTTTACCATCTGTCTTGACGCGATTGCTTGGAGAAAAAAGGTACATTACGTAAGGCTCATCAGCTCTCGCATCAGTAATTCATCTTCTTTCTTGACGAATCGTCCCTTCACTCTAAGTCGGCTGTCTGCGAAATTCTTTCTGACGTCGTACTTCACAGTTTTTGTCCAAACTCTATGATTTCGTTTTTCCAGAAAGCGAGCTATACGAACTTTCCTGCTTTCTGGAGAGTAGGCACCGATCCAACCTTCAGGCCTGTCTACTTGAAGCAAGCCATTTACATCAACTGACGACCGCAAATTCGGATCACTCATAGAGCGCGGTCGCCCAGAACCTGCTTGGTGCTCTTCTTTCTCTTCAGTCTCTGCCCTCTTCAGCTTTTCCAGTTTTGCCTGCTCTCGCTTCTCTTTTTTCTCAAGCTTTTCCCGCTCTTTTCTCTCTTTCTTCTCTTGCCTTTCTCTCCTTTTTTCTTCGGCTCTAAATTCGCGCTTGGATACAGCAGCGGGCGACCTACCCAAGCGTTTGTTCTGATTTGAATGCACACTTGCTTCAGAAACCGGTTGGAAAGAGGTTGGCGCAGATGCTCGCCTGGTAGCCTTGGACCGACGACCCCCCCCTTGAGATGCTAGATTGTTCTCTGATGATCGCTCCATCCATCGCCCGTAATCAGAATGCATTCCTTCCTGAGGAACATTGCCAATAAGAGCCGAAAACAGGGAGTTTGATCTTTGTCGATAATCAACATCTACTGAGAAGGTCGAATTCGATCGAGACCTTTGACCACTGCTGGGGTGCGCTGGGGAAGGTTCGCGGCTGTATGATTCCATTGGTGCCAGACCTATGTTCCCGTCAATACCACCATCGAAATCGAGATCTCCAATGCCATCGCCTACTGCTTCTAAGCCCGACATCTGCCTCAAGCTTTCGCTTGTGCTATTTCGGAAGGAAGTTTGAGGTTGCACTGTGAAATTTGATGGGTTACCAAGTTGCCCGTTCCCAGCATGATCGTCGCTGACATTTAGGAAGTCCAAGTCTAAATCTCCAAGTAGATCAATACCATTCATTGCTCGGTTTGATAACGTGCCACTTTCAAGAATTCGTTCTAGTTTCGTCACATCACCCTGTTCGTACATATCCAAGGCATCCTGGAGCTCATTGTCACCCGAGATTATTAAGTCTTTCAAAATGCCTTTCTGTTCCCTGTCGATCATCCCCTTTTGTTCAAGTTCAGAAGAAACTCGAAGTCGCTCAGAAATACTCTGAAGTGATGTAGAAATTGGTATTAGAAGACTTGGCAAACGGTGACAGAGGCAAACAAAGTAACGAAACTCACCCCAGACCTGGGACGCTTCCCGAAATGAGAAACCTCGTAGGATGTGGAAATATGCGTTGGTGGCGTGTGAGACAAGTGCGTGTTATTGAACGTAGAGGCGGGATTCAATATGTTGTTTAGAAATGCACTTCCTGTGGATCCTGCGGAGCTGGGTCTAGATCCACTAGTTTGGGGATGATCAATCGATTTTTTTGTTGAATCTGGTATGGCCCTTGGGGCAGATCGTTGGGGTTGTAGTTGGCCAGACAGCGAGAAAGATGATTGTGCTTGGTCGTCGCTCGTATCCTTAAGCTCAGATTCCCCAATCGTACTCGGAGAAAAGCTGTCCAAGCTCATCTCGTTGTCAACCCTTGTAGACTCTTTTTGACCAAAATCCATTGTGTCAAACTGATTTTCGTTAATGCTGTCATACTTTCCCATAGCGATCGACCGCCCAGCTTCATTTACATCAAAATCAATATCGAAGTCGATGTTGTCAATTTCATCCATGTTCCCATTAAGATTGGCGACAGCTTCCATAATTCTTGCCGTATTTTATTTTGCTCTTCAATTTTCTTTGCTTTAAATGGAGATTTTCGGGAAGCAATATGGATTAGTACTGATTGTGAAAGTCTGATGTATCTCAGCTTTTGATTGTGGTGAATGAATCAATCCAACAGTATCGTCATGCCGCCAAAAGGAACTAGCAGAGCATCTCCATGACAAATATGACTCGCAATAAATGAACCAATCAAAAGAAGGAATTGTACGGAAATCTCGGAGAACGAATAGACCTGTCTGGTACATACCGGTACGTGTACCGGTACCTGGTACTACGTTCCAGAATTTTTTGTGTTCCAGAATTTCTGGAAGGTATTCCATAAAATAGGCAGGGGTTCCAAACGACCCTGTTAGAGCGACCCAAATGTTGCCGGCCGGCCACGCGCCTGCCAGGACTGTTTGATCGGTCAAGTGGATTGACAGTCGTCTGTCTGACTCCTAGCCGACTTCTTTGACTGGCAAAAGA